GAGTTCCATGTACGGGGGCGCCTGTCCCGTTTTTTTTTTTTTGTTTTTCATTTTCAATGCGGCTAGGCTTTTGTGTGCGAGCAATGAAAGAAAACGCACAAATAAAATACGGTTTTGTCCCGGCAGACTATTGCCCGGGTCCGTCGACACGACAACAAACGCCATTAGTCATAATGTAAAAATAAAAACTTTTCCCAAAAACCGTCTGCCCCCGTGTGCACTCCTACTAACCTAAATATTCAAATTAATACACGCTCGGCGATTGTTCCCAATTTTCGGTAGTGCGGTGTTGTATTACAAATTGCCCGCTCAAACGTGCACAGCCATTGCATAGGCGGATCGCGTGGGTTCCGATCACGATAATAACATTATTACTACAACGGCCGACGTTACGTTTACGTTCGAGGTACTATTAATTACAATACAGGGGGTTGGGGAGGGGTGTGTGTGGAAAGTATGTACTCAAGTATTCACCTCGTGAGCAACGGCCGTGTCGTGCCGTCCCGTCCCAGTGGACCGGCCGGGGGAATGAATTTTTCAACTAGTTTTCGAGACCGAGTGAATTTGAATTCAATTCCGTTTGCTCGGTGCGCGCCGTTATCGCTGATTTTTCGTTGGTAATTGTTTTTCTAGGAAACTCCTAATGAAACACGTCGCCCACAAAATCGTCGCGTTGTTCTTTTGCTAGACCCAACCGACGACTACCTACCTACGCTATCGTCGTCGCGGCCACAACAAAACCCGTGCCAGCGTCGTTATCCTGTCGACCGGGCGTGTTCCCCGGAACAGGACAATGCGCGACACAAATACACGGAATTACTCGAAAAGTGATTATCGAGTAAATGTATTTCTGTCTGTGACGGCAACGATATTATTTTCGATGTACTTGGCGCATTTTTTTTGTTTTTTACTAGCCAAACCGTTCGGTTGGCGTTTTACGCGCTCGCGTTTCTCACTATGTGCCGACGTCGGCGGCACCAAACGAACGGTAAAACTGTTCATGTGGCCAACGTCCTAATAAAAAGCGTTCAATAGGACAAATATTTATGAACGGCTGACCGCGACGTGTCCCGTTGTGGGAGTTTTCCGAGACAGTGCTCTCGTGTCCTTCTTTTTCGTACGGCCGGCAAAAACTTTTTACTTTTTACCCATCAAGCCGCTGTTTTACAGTGAATAAATAATTATTATACTCTTGCCGTGTATGTAACGTTTACACGGCTGGGTATCACTTAACCTTTACACCGGTGTACCTAAACTTCGCTGTGTATCCTTTACCCGCACCTGTAGCACATAGCGTAAGTAGACCAAACCGACAACACCTGTGCCCCGTGAAGGGAGGTCTGCGCTTGTGACGAACGGGGAGAAAACTAGACGATGTAAAATAAAACTGGGTATTAACAAACACATACTATAATAGTATACCACGTCATACCCCCACAACGGTATGTACGATTTACCCTTTTCGAGTGTCTACACAGGAACCCGATAGACTTGAGACCGTGGGAGATGACTAGGCTGCAGCAGAGATGTTTTACATTTCCGGGGTGTAAAACTTAAGCATGTAATGATATCGGGCGCAATATTATAACAGAGTTTTAGACTGGAGTTCTCACGCAAATGCAATCTCAAGAGTGACAAGATAAAAGCAAATCATCGTCATACCGTGTGACACGATTTGAATATACACAGAAATAAATCAACGTATTTCTATGCACATCGTTCAGCACATACGAAAAACAGTTTAGAGACACGTACGATAAACAAATTGAAACAAGTAAAAAGTGTTTTTTATTTTTTCTAAATTATTGAACATTTCACGTGGATACGGTAAAAATATTTCGATTGACTCGGTGTGGAAAATTGTACGCATCAAAAATTTATTTTTCTTTTATTTGCCGACGAAAACAAATTCAAATCTCAAGGCCACTACGGTGTTCCCCAAACAGACCGCCATTCATTTATTTACAACGTGTGTTCAGATAATATTACTACGTTTGATCAGAACGGTACCATTTTTGCCGTACGTTTATTGGACGTGTTGCGCAATCACTTTATACGAGTAATCAATCGTACCGACCGACCGTAATAATTACCGTGCGTTTTGTCACTTTGTCGATTCGGCATTTTAGTCGCCCACGATCAGCGTTCAAACCGTGTCAAACAACGTAGCGAAAACGCTAAGTAGTCATTACCTACTAGAATTATGGTGCAAACAGATGGTTGTATTTTTTATCATTTACACGACCGCCTGTTCAGCGCGTTCTGTACTCTGACGGACGCGTTTCTTTTTTCTTTCGAGCTTACTGTGCCCTGATGTTGCGCTATTTTATTAGAGAACAGGATAAAAATGATTTTATGATGTTCTCCAACAACTCTAGTTTGCCGAACTTGGTGTAAAATTAATGATATCCGTCAGAAGTGAGCGTGCGCCACACACGGGCCCCCTTCAGCGTCGTGTCAACATACCCGGCGCGGTAACCGGTAGCAACAACAGCCCTTGTCCGTTATCCTATAGGTCGGCGATGCGTGTCGAGTCGGTGTTACGCGGTGCGTGCGATGACGACCCGTCCGAAAACGTCGCCGGACAGCAGAGAAACACTGCGACTCGGACGAACACCCTTCCCTTTCTCTATTTTTGTGGTTACGAGTCATACGTGGCCAGCGAGTGTGTTTGCGCTCGATAGGCGTTCGGAATTTCATTCCGACTGCGCTCGAGGAATCGGATTTCGCGGGTAAACCGATCCATGAAGGATAGCTAAAACTTGTGAAACGGTTTAATATTTTACCTTCCAGTGAATAGCTATGACGCCGAACACACCGATCTGACGAGGGGAAGGTGCTTAGGGGCGTATTGTAATGGAAAAAAAAAAAAAGAAATAATGAAAAAACAACAAGTCGATGTAATCTGGCAAGTAATGGATTTTATGCGTAGCGACCGGAGTTCCGTTTTGGTGGAGTCGTACCGTCGGTCAACGGCGAAGGTGGACTGCCGCACCTGTGTTCAGTGGCGGGCGGGCGGTCGGACGGGGAAGCGACCTCGCCGGTAATTAGTGGACCGGGCAGGATGTGGTCGGAGTCTGGACTCGAGGACCAGGTGCGCGCCGTCACCCTTCTCCCGTCTTCGTCCTCCCGGTCGTTATCATAATCATCGTAGTCGTCACCGTCGCCAGGCCGGCCGGTCGCCCGCGAGCCACCTCGCGTCTACCCGCCGCCACCGCCGCACCGATGCCCCACTACCACCCGGCTCGCCCACCTTCCGACCGTTCATTCATAAAACATCCCTACTACTCCGGATAGGCGGCGAGTGCGTGCGTGTCGAAGGCCTCTCCACAATTCTTGAATGGAGAAAACGCGCGCGCGAGGCAACGGCGACGTTCACAATCCGACCGCTCGCGTTAACGGTCGCACGTCGTAGTCGTCGTTAACATCAATTTAGTAACACTGGTGCGAGGCATAAAATTTTACCGGACCCATAACTGCTGGTCGTCGTGTGTAACAATATAATTTGTTTTTTTGCCGGTCACCGTTGTCGTCGGTAACGATAGAATTTGAAAAAAAAAACAATTTAAATGTTTGTAAACGTTGCTTGTTAATTTAATAGCAGCAAACATAACTTTTTAAATATCGTTCAGTGCGTTTTCAATTGGTAAACGATCCCTCGTTTGTTTTGAATCGAGTAAGTGATCAATTTTATTTCGCACAAAGCGCGTTTGTTTTTTTAATTTAATTGTTCACAATCGATGTTTTGTTGTTGACATCAGGTGTTTTACCTGTCGTTGTCGTCCGTAGTTAAGTACGTGTTTCAAGTATTTGGGGGGCCGGTGATGCGTGATGGTCGGACCGCGCGCGTTAACGGTGGTGTTTTACGTGGTGGCTGCAGCAGCGGCTGCGTCGACGGCGACGAAGACGGAGACACCGACGGCCGATGTCAAGCGTAACGACGTCGGCAACCGATTGGAAGCCTTGACGAGGGTGTCGCCGGCAGATCAACAAGTGCAACAACAATTGTCGCAACACAGACGATTCCGTCACGAGGCCTCTTCCGTACGGGTCCTCTATCAGAACGGGGTAAGTGCGCCCGCATTATTTTTTACTTCGTGCGTTGGCAATGGTAATTCAATAACGTAGGAACCGAGTGTACAGTTACTACGGTACGCTTTAAAAAACGGCATAATTATTTCAAGCGTACTTGCCACCGGTCACCGGCTAGGCGCCTCGACTTTGACGTGCCAGCGCGGACAGGCGCCACTTTGAGAGATTGTACGTGCCCACGTTTATATATATTTATGTGTTTGTTTTTTTTATTTATGATTATTATTATTATTATTATTATTATGATTATTATTGTTGTTGTGGTGCATAGCGTGCCCATTTAAATGGTACGGTGTGCAGCCAATCTAAACCAGATTGGTCGTATAGGCTAAGCTGGTTTGACCGGATCGTTCCGTGAACCCATACAATAATAATTCTATCAACAGTTATCATCTGTAGGGGTTTCCCCGGGAGCCAAAACTCTGTATTGGGAAAAGGCCATAGTTTTTATTTTTATCAAAAATTCTAATTTTTGCCAACGACAATTGCCTTGTGGCCACTGTCCGTTTTTTCTAATAACCATCGGACACACACGACCACCGGACATGGCAAAGTCGACACGGCACAAACGAACGACGACTGCGTAGGGAAAAATTATTACCGACGTCGTTTTCCGGTTCGGCGGCAGTGTACGTTTTTTATTGCGCGCAAATGTAAATATATTTTTTCGATTCGTCGAAATACGATATTTTCTTCCGTTGAAAATTTTCTAATGGCTTGGGCCGCCTCATGATCGTTTAATGTTTTATTATTGTTGTTATTTTGCAAACGGCAGCGCAATTTTCTGGCGCCAGGACGTTTTTCACTCGACTGCAGTGCAACACTAACGATTAGGTTTTACTATTGGCACGGCAATGTGCCCGAAAACGTTTTACGACGGTCGACGTTGTTGTTATTATTGAGTATTTTTTTTTTCCTAGTCAAAATTTCAGTAACTACAACAATACTGCCTAACCTTGGCCTACTCGAATGACACCGGCGCATAATTCTCAGCGGAAACACGTAATGTTATTTATTTCCATCGCGATCTACGCGGCCGCGGGTTTTTTAGAAACACTCGGCCGTTTAAACGTTTCGTTGATTTATTCGATTTTCGTCTGGTCAACATCGGACTTGTTGATTTCGTCGGAGGAATTTAATATTTATAACGCAGCAGCAGCCAGTTGAAATACCGAATCGTAGTGCACGTCTCGTCGGTAATTACTTGCCGCTGCATCCACCTGTGCGTCCGAAACGGCGGTCTGGACGCACCCCCCCGGGGCACCCGGAGTAATCGAGAAGGTCCGGTTAATCGGTATGAATAAACTTTATTTTTTTTTTTATACACGTTAATCGAACGACTACCGGGCGACTGGCGCGTTAGTCATTAAGTCTTCTTGTCACTTCAGACCTATAATCGAACGCTGGCCAGTCCGAACACGAATAATACCCTTTGCGTCGTTGTTAGGCGTACGACGAGAGATGTTTTTCCTCGATCCACGCTGGAGGAGGTTTTTGAAATTAATATGAAAATAAATCCTACGCTCGTATATTATTAGAATTATTAATTGAAAACATAATAAAACAACTGAAACATCGGAATATTTAATTTATACAAAGAACAAAACCGGTAGCAGTCGGCGGGTCTGAACGATTTCAACAGTAGTGAGAACACATCTCATAATGCAATGAAAATATCTTTTGTTCAAAAAAATATATTCAATACTTGGCAGGCGTCTTTGTCGAGCACTTGTTAATAATTAAAATCGTATATATATTTTTTAATTCATCGACACTACTGGCACGGGTGTACGTATAAATCGTTAATGAATGACTGCCCGGTTTTGTTTCGAATTAAAAATTCCTCGGGAGTAATTAAAAAACATCATACTCCAACGAGAACAACGTCGCGACTCGAGTTTTACGAGCTGACTTCGCCTTCTATTCGAATCTATTAAAATTCTCAGGCCGCCATTATAAATGGCATTTGGTACATGTTCTTATTGACCGGTTATTAATATCCAGACTGTAAGAAGAAATCATCCGAAAATTCCCATACTATAATATGACATATTAATATAATACACTCCTCGTTAGTTTTGCACTCGAGTAGTGTAATTTTTTTCGATAAAGTATTGAAAATTCGTACAGAAATGCAACATTTTTATTTATCCAAATCTTCCCTTGCGTCGTTTTCCTATAACATATATTAATATTCATTTCAAAATCTAATATTTTGAAATAACATGTCGTTATTTTTAGGCAAATCTTAAATTATTAAGCCGTTCTGTTGCGTAATGCGTTTCGTGGGCGTGATGACTTTCACAAACATTTAACGTCCGGAGGTAGTATTCCACAGAACTGCTTCATCGCACGCCTTTCAGCACCGGCGTCAGTCGTTTAGTGGCAAAAGAATGTGCGACTTTTACGTCGGAACACGGGGTATTACCTCCCCTAAACGAGACCGGAACAAGTTGTGCAATTATTATGGCCGCGTCGGTGCCGCCCAATGTCGTAACGTCGTCACCGCCGCGTATGCGTTTCCTTATTGAGATCCAGACGAAATCGTACACCTTACGGCGGCAATTAAAAAAATAACACGAAAAAAAACCATAATAATAAAATATACGAATATAATTATTTCACAACGTCGTCGCCACTTCCTGTGCTGCACTTGAAAGGTGGCGACAGGTAGGTAAATAACGTTTTTATCACGTTTATTGCCCATACGATTATTATTGTTATTACGCTTCCTGTGCGGAATGAACATTTCTCTCTTTGCTCGGATTTATTTATTATTTTTTTTTCCCTGGGTACCAATGCTCGTCGGCCGCACGACTAGCCGCCGTGGCTTCTGTTTGTACCGTGTAAGGTACCTAGTGTCTTCACCGCCACTGTTGTTATTATTATTATTGCTTATCCTCGGCGTTAATGCGAGACGGCTACCGGTTTTTTCGGTGTTGTGGTCGGACTAGAATGGGGTGCTGGGGGAAAAAAAAAAACGGGAATATTGTGTCTCGGACGTGTGGTGTATACGGAGAAAGAATAATATATTATTATAACCTTAAAACTACTACTACACTCGTATTATCGAGGCTCGCGATGGTCTTCTTTATTTATCTTTTTTTTTTGCGCCGCCGCCGCCGCCGCCGAGATGCGTATACGTGTAGCCACTCGCACGGGATGTGTGTTCGGTCGGCCGGTCCGTTGATGATGCAGAAAGGAACGAAGAAAAAAAATATCGTTCCGGTTAATTTACCGGCCAAATCTGGTAGAACGGAAGCAGCTAAAGTGGAAAAAAATAAGCGCACACCAATACACACACACACACACACACACACGCTACTAGTACATTGATAAAAAATGCGTTTTTATCCGATGGGTATAACACGACGCATTTTTGTCGTACACAGCCGACGACGACGACGCCGCCGAAGGAATGCGGTTCTAGGATAGGCGCGAGCGATAAGGAACATCCGGTCGTGTTGCAGCGGATAGGGTCAATGGGTTTTTTGTGCGTGAGGACGGCGTGCGGTGTAGTCGCCGCTGCCCGTGAGACGATCGGCGGCGTGCGTGCGTCGGCCGTCGTTGTTATTGCCAGTGAATTTTTGATCCGCGCTTCCGGTCCGAGCCGCCGGTAGGATCCATTACACAAAAGGATAATATACCCCGTCCCGTTCGGCAGAAAGGTCAGCCGTCGCCTGCCGAATGCAGCGGTCCCATCACACCCACCACCGCCACCGAAGCTGTCTGCTGTTCTCTTAACCGTGTACGAATCGTATTGTTGTCGTTTACGCCCCTGGGGATTTTTGTCGGTAACGCCGCCGTACGCAAACACACCCCGGCGCTTCACACGCACGTACACCACTGGCCGGTCGGAACGGACAAATACGTTTGTAACCGAATTTCGAAAACGTATTCCGACAAATATTCCGATGGGACAGTTGCGCACTCGAAATTGTTTGTAAAACTCGGCGGTTGGGATGCATCAAAAAAATAATACTAACGCCGTCGGATTTGATTTTTTTTTTTTTTTTTAATCCAATAATAATTCTTTCTAGTCGTCATCGATAACGAGACTCGGTCGCGGTGGCCCGACTGGTTTCTTCTAGTCCCAAAATATTTCATATATTATTATTATCATTATCGTACATAAATACCTAAACAACGGGCACTGTCGTAACCGCAAACCACGAAATAATATATTTTATATTAGATAGATGTAAAAAAATATTTTATCATCCGTACGCGGAACGTATCCGACAGCTCCGTTGCATTCCATTGACGGTACGCATGTGGTTAACTATTATTTTATGTATATATATATATATTTTTATTTAACTAGTCACATGTATTAGACGCCGTGGTGTGTCAAAAGGTTTTTTTTTTTTTGATTTTATTTTATCGAATAGTATGCTGATATTTCTGCGTGTTCTCTCGACTCCGCACTGCCGTCGGTCCGTTTGCGCTCGACGGATGACCGCGTATTGGATCCCGATGACTTACGAGTGGATTTCAACAACGACGTCGTGTACTTGTCTCTCTACCGGGGGGGTGCTCCTATCGCTTCGTGATGGTTTTCACAAAGGCAAACACGTGTAGACGCGGACACTTCATTGGAATGCGCGAGGAGATGCTGAATATAATTATTGTTTTTATTTCCATCTCTCCGCGACACCCTGAAAACAAAGCGGAATTACTCTGTCGCACTAACCCAACGCCTATTCTCTAGTACAATACTCGTGGCACACAGCGTTCGTGTACAACAAACAAATGTCGAGCCCGTTCGTCTTTTCTTTTGTCGCGCGCCCCATAGAAATAATAGTAACAACAATAATAATAATAATAATAATAATTATTATTATTGTATTCGTTCTCCTTCGAGCACCGAGCAGCAATACAGGCGCGCGTTTCTAATGAAGTAAAATATTTAAAAAAAAAAACGCCATTGTGTGCTCCTCGCGTTCGCCAAGGACGTGTCCTTGGGCAAGGGCATT